ATTTTATTGGCCTCCAGTATCACTGGAGGTGGGGCTGAAAATCGGAAAAGATCGGACCCTTTTCGGAAGCGGCAGTCTTTTATTGCTGGCATCGCTTTGTCTTGAATGTTGCTAACGGTTTCTCTTAAGTAAACGATACCTAACTTTAATACACATCGGAAAGATCACAAGGCTTTGTTTAACTAAGATTAAGATTGCACTTCAAACAGGAAACAGGAAATTAAATAACTACAGAAGAAAAAGAAATAAATGTAAAAGGAAAGGAAATAATATAAAAGGACAGGAAATCAAATATAATGCTTATTGCTTACAAAGGAAAGGAAATTAAAATATGTAATATTATAAGACTTATTGTCTAAAAAATATTAATTTAAAAATTTTTGAGTATTTCATATATTAAACTTTCCAAATTGAATATAAAATTAAAAAATACAACTTTAGCACGGACTTTTCCTTTGGTTATTAAACGGTATGAGCTAATTTAAGGTTTATGCTTATTCCATCGTAGTAATTTCTATAGTCAACCGCGTAGCGAGCAAAGTTAATTTCGTGTCCATTTGTGTCTAGGGTAAGAATTCCATTCAGCTGGGTTCCTTCCCTTATGCCCCTTCAACCAAACCACTTCCAACGCGCCTTTTACGCTATCGGCAAACGATGCCGACGTCGCGTGAGGAATTCCGTATTAAAAGTTTACCTCCGCGTTGGCACGCTCACGGGAAAGGGCTCGGAATTCCGCTACACGAGCGCGGCCACTAGAAATTCTCGTAGTTACCTACGTTGGCCTGAGTCATGAGAGGAAAAAGAGTAAGCGAGAGAGAAAGAGAGAGAGAGGAAAAGAGCCTTGTTGTCATCGTAATATACATCGGACCTTTGCCTTCCATCTACTCTACTGAAAATCGAGAGAAAAGATCCTTTGTCATCCTACATTCCGGTAGGTGAGCTATACTTTTTTTTTCTTCTTCTTTTTTTTTCTTTCCTTCGTCTTTTTTAAAACGTTTCACTCGCGTTATTTTACACATTCTCGTTGAACTTTAACTTTCTCTCTCTCTCTCTCTCTCTCTCTCTCTCTCTCTCTTCCATTACTATACTTGTCACGTAGGTAGGTACCTACTGCTCGAGATAATAGTCCATTTTAAATTCCTATTTTCTTTGCTGTTCGTTTCTTGTATTCAAGTAAGGAAGCAAATGTTTTTGTGAAGTACATAGGAGAAAGAACAAAAGAGAATTGCAATGTTATATTTTTCTTTGAGAGATCTTCCAAACTATCAAGATCAACTTTGGTAATGTTTAATCGATGTATAGATCATATTCTGTAATTTCTATTTTTATTTGCGACTAATCATTGTTTTCATTTTGTATGTATTTTTACCAAACTTTCGTAATATTGTTCATTTGAGAGAAAAAGAAAAGTATCGAGAAGAGTTTTTGAATATTTCTACGATTTCCTTTTATATACTGATATATAGTTTTGAAAAAAAGCACGTCAAGAGAGAGGGGTGCATCTTCGACATTTTTAGTATACTTGTGAGGTACTTAAAGTAAGGGTAAAATCGATCGGTAAAGGAGGAACGCATGAAAGAAAATACTTTCCAGGTGAGGCGCGCTCGTCGCGCGGAAAATTTGGGGTGAGATCGGAGTGGAAAGGGTGTAGTAGTAGTAGTAGTAGTTTACGGTTGGCGTGCAATGCTACTATGAGAGAAATAGAGAGAAATAGAGAGAGAGAGAGAGAGAGAGAGAGAAAGAGAGAGAGAGAGAGAGAGAGAGAGAGAGAGAAAGAAACAGGCGAAAACTTGGAGGAAAACAATGACGGGATAAAGGACCGTAACGTATGCACGTTACATAAAGCCTCCGGCAGTCGTTCTTCGTCGCTACCCCGTGTAGAAAAATTTTCCACCATCTCGGGTATCCGGCCATCGTATAACCCATACTAGATGGTTATACTTGTAGAAGTATAGCTCTGAGATGTAACTCGAATATAGTCCGGGTGTGTTGTAGCATGGTGGTTGGTGTGGTGTGGTGCTTTAGATACGAGGATATATACGCAGTACGGACGGGGTGGATGATGTTCGATGTGGAAGCAAACGTTGGCTCGCAGCAGTGAGAATATAAGCAAATAAGGCTCGCAAAATCGAGGCGACAGCTTCGTAATATTTTTCCCTACACTCGGTAGACATATTTATCGTTTTTTTCATTCCTTTGATCTCACCTCTCTTATCCTCCTTTACTTTTCTGCCCCTTCTTGCTCTCCACCATCTGTACTGTCGAAGCTTCATCGTTCTTTTCCATTGGCATACATGAAAGGTAAACTTCATATAAGGGAAAACAAATACGTGATCCGAACGAGAGGCTCACTACCATAATAAACGACATATCGAGTAGTTTACTCAGAGACGATAATTGGCATCCGTCGAGAAAACAAATTCTACTACTTCGTCATATGATATAACGAGGATACGACGAGTACGGTGATAATTATATTGAATTTTTTATCTCCCTTTTTTCTTTTTTCTCTTTTTTACATTTCGATAGATTGTATATAAAAGATGATTGATAGTTCGGAAGAATATTATAGGTGTCTCATTAAAAGACAATGTCGAACGATTATCTAGGTTTTTCCTACCCCTATGGATAGTTTTATGACGTATAAGCATGAAATGAGCTTCGGCGATAATTATAAGCCACGAACGATCGATAATTAAATTCCATTAGCTCTTGTCGGTTTTCATATTGTTCCTAGGTTTTAATATCGCAGGAATATATTCGACTAATTCGAGCGACTTTTTTATTGGAAATCTTTTTTTCTGGTGCACTTCTATATATATATAACAGATATAGTGCATTTAGTGAATTTATTAAGAAAAAAAAACCGATAACAAATTTATAGTTTTGTCGCGATCCGATGTATGTTTGTTTGTAATTCGTTATTTAAGTTCGTCAAAGATTGACACGGAGGGAATTTCAATCGACTTTCACGATGCGTCAATGAAATCTACGAAGTCTATCGTTGGTTAACTTTGTTCGGACGACACTTTATATTTTCGCGAACTAGTACAAGCGAGTGGCGTCATATATCCAGTAACGGCATCAGGAAAAGCACGACAGGATGAAATGGAATCCTGTCCTGTGGACTCGTCACGCCCGACAGGTACGAAACGATCGGATTTTGGAAAGAGCGATGAGGGATGGAGGGAGCAAAGGCTCTGGAATTATTTGCACGTCGCATCGATGGAAACCTTTGACAAGATTTGCACGAACGTATGCGTCGATCGTGAAATCATGGATTGCGTTCTCGGTTATTCTCGTTTTTAAAATTTGAATCTCTATTTCTGTTCTTTTTTTCTTTCTAAATATTTTTAACCATTCTTCTATATCTTTCTCATTATCTCTCTTTCTCTCTTTTCGGTCGACATTTTTATATCTGTATTATTATACAATTGTTATTAGATTTTCAGTTATATACTATGCTGTAAACTCGTGTTATTAGGCATTTTTAATCATTCGTTTTATTTTCTCTTTTTGTTTTCTTTTTTGTAAAGATTGAGTTAAGTATTACTAAAGTATATATGAGGCATTTCACGTCAAATCGACCACTTTTGACTCTGACCCCTTTCGATTTGGCTGAAAGTTTTTTATCCTATTTTACCCTATGAAAAACAGTTCTCAGAATTTTTTCAAATTTTTTTACCTAACCCAAAAAAAATTATTAATTTTTGAAAAAATGGCTCTTTTTTTTAAATGGCTATAACTTCTTTAAAATTCAACCTATTGGGACGATTTTTTTTAAATTTTTGTTTTTAAATGTACTTTCGAGAAAAAAATACAAACGAATTATAAAATGATAATCTCCCTGAAATTTTTGCATTTTTTAAGAGAAACCGTTATTTTCTCGAAGTTCGCTATTTTTCATTTTTCTTTTATTTTCTAAAAAAAACTTTCACTAATTCTGCGATTATCCCCGCCAATCCCAGAGTGGGTTGAGTTAGTTTCCTATTTTTTTTATTCAATTAAAAAAAAATTTTTAATTTATTTTTTTTTTGAAATTAAATTAATGCAAATAAACAATTTTACAATATTATATACTCAATTTATAGTCTCAGAAAACAAAGTTTTTCAAAAAAAAACATTTTAAATTTTTAAAATTGAAAAATGTTTTGGAAAATGCAAAAATTTCAGGGAGATTATCATTTTAAAATTCGTTTGTATTTTTCTCTCGAAAGTACATTTAAAAAAAAAAAATTTAAAGAAAATCGTCCCAATAGGTTGAATTTTGAAGAAGTTATAGCCATTTAAAAAAAAGAGCCATTTTTTTCAAAAATTAATAATTTTTTTTGGGTTAGGTAAAAAAATTGGAAAAAATTCTGAGAACTGTTTTTTATAGGGTAGAATAGGATGAATAAACACATATATATGTGTGTGCTGTAACTTATAATCTAAATATTTCACGTAAAATATTTGAAAATGCGCTGGACACAAGACCATCTGGTGGTATCTTTGTTTTCATAAAATATCGAAATAAGAATTTTTTATGATTTTTTTTTACATAAAGTATATACCTAAAAGAAAAACCGACTGACGTCTAGCAGCATATGCTTCGTCATTTTAATACCGCACTTATGATTTATGTATTAAGATACATATTCTATCGGTAGTCGGTTCTTTCTCAGCATTAATGCTATCGTTGATTTTAGAATCGGAGAAGGGTTTTTCGTATTCTCAATATTGTAATTCTCCATTTCTTTATTTCTCTCCCGGTGAAAAATTCTAATGTTACATTTTCTGATTGTACATCGAAAATAACAGGATAAATTCGTTTAGTTTAATTGTGGTTGTTCATGTATCTCAATGTAATACTTATTATTTTTAATGAAAATGCTTTATCGATGATTTTATTTTTACTATTATGCTTTTGTATACATCTAGAGTATTCTTTCTTTTTTTCGTTTTTATTTTGGAGAGGGGTTTTATTCTACATTTTATATAAAAAAAGCATACGGAAACCAGTAACGAGCGGACGAATTTGCAAATTTTCGTTCTCGTCCATTCGCTGTAACATAAATCGATCGATGTGATACGAATAGAGTTCGATGAGATAACAGCAAGCAAACCACGCGAGGTCATAGAGGAACGTTCTAACGATGAAAGCTTTTAAAATAGGTTCTGATAGCCGAGGGTTTCCGAATACAAAACGGTTCTTCGATAAAAGCCATAATCTTAACCGATGCTGACGACTATCATTTGTTGTTGTTTGAACTTTTTCTGTCTTTCTGTGTGTTTTTTTCTTTCAATTGTCGTGACTCGACACGAGGAAAAACGAACAGTGCTGTGTCTACGAAAGGTAAGAATTTCAAATTTGTTATGAAAGGGAGTATTATATTTCTTTTTTTGGTTTCTTTTTTAAAAAGTAAAAGCGTTTCTACTAGCTCCTCTTTTTCGCGAAAATCGCTTTAATGCCTTTAAATTTTCGTTAATGTCTAAGAATAGAGTCGCGGTTGGGCAGTCTCTGTCTGAACGCCACCTTGTAAACGACTTAAATTAAGAAAAACGTTCATACGAAGAAGTACTCTTGGCAAGACGGTTTGCCCTTGCGTTTTCCAACTTAGTGTTTCTTCCATATCGTACTTCCTTATCCTCCTGGAAGCTTCTTTCTTCCCTTGTAAATAGGGTCGAACTCGTAAAAGCTAGCTACGACTTCATTCTTTATACTTTTGACTTTAAAAAGATCTTCTTTCGACTATATTTTTTTCTTTTTTTTCCCCTAAACTCTTTCGTATTGAAAAGCATTTAGAAAGTTTTTGAGAAGAATTTAAAATCGATGTAAGTAGATAAATACCTAGATGTTATATAAGTGTATCTAAAAAAAAAGAATCATTTTTACTCTATTCGTGTTTTCTTGTCAGAGATTTTTCATTCTAACTTATAGGATAGTAGGTCTCTCGAGTGATATAAAAAAGAAATGAAGGGGTGATAGAAATTTAATGAAGGAAGAACCCGTATCATTTACGTTTAGGTAAATTTATATATGTAGTATATATATGTATACAACTGTTAGTATCCGAGTATTTAAATTGGTATCTACTCGAGAAAATGGTGATATGATCTCATGTGTGTGAAGATAAAAAAAAACAAAAAAAGAAAGAGAAGAAGATAGGAAGAAAAAATGATAGTGAAAAAAGGTGGAGGGTAAGTCCCGTGGGACTGAGATTTTTTATTTTTTTTTTATTTTCTAGTCGAGCGAAAGAAATGCGGTGTTTAACGAGTTTCAAGAGTAATGGCGGTGCATCTACCAAATAGTACTACGTATTAGTCGGTTTTATGTTATTAAGTTTCTAACGTACCTACTGAAAAGAGCGAAGGTAGCAAGCGAAAGAGAAAAAGAGAGAGAGAGAGAGAGAGAGAGAGAGAGGAAGACGTGGGGGGGGGGAGAAGGGTGCGTTTCATACAGGGGATAACTGTGGCTTGGTAGCGGTGCTAATATCGGCGAGGATCTTGCCAAATTGTCGCAATAAGCGCCTCGACTATGGCATTTTCCGTACATGCTATGCTTTTGCTTTCCTGCAGAGCGATTCTGGAGAAAATGCTATCTCTCTCTCTCTCCCTATCTCTCTTTCTCTTGTTCTGAAACCACATCTTCCGTTATCTCTCTTTTTTCTTCCGTCCTTTTCTACACATTACCACTTTCTCTCTCTCACTCTCTCTCTCTGTCTCTCTCTCTCTCTTTCCTAGCGGGTTATTAACGTTTCCATTTACTCCACTCGCTGTGGGGTTAATTGACGGCGCACGAGAAGATATTTTCCGTTGGTATAGGTACTGGTGGTAGTTTCAAAAAAAATTTCCACTTTTCTCTTACAAAATTTTTTGTTCGATGAACGTCAGGAATAACATTGTATTATGCCCATTCTCTTTTTTCTCATATTTTTTGTTTCTTTTTTTCTTTTTTTTTACAAATTTGTTTCTACTTTTATATCGTTCTCATTGGTTTTATTTTCATTTATCTCGTTCTACAAATGTAAAGAATATATTTTTATACAAAAAAGGCTTTGATCATTTTTACGAGTTAATGTTTACATTTAATTAACGTATGTAGGTGGTGGGTATGTATAATATTATATTTTCAAAGAGTTGAGCGTGTTATGTTCGCAAAGCTTTTACCAGTTTCAAATATTATTCAACGCCTTTGTAATATTCGTATACTTTAATGTAAATTTCGAAGGATACGATGTCCGTCATATGTAATGATTCCTATGTTTTGTTACTGTATATGTTTTAACGTCCAGTCTCGCGCAAATTACCGAATTATGATTTATAGTCGCGTGGTATAGTACAAAAGCGTCATATAATTTGACAAAGAATTCCTTTTATCACGAGTATGAACATCAAAGCGTAACCAACGTATATTGTTTTATATCTTCATTCTGTGTTCTCTCATATTCCTCTCTCTCTCTCTCTCTCTCTTGTCTTTCTGTATACATATTTTCTATTCGTCCGATTACGTCGTTAACAGTTTCGCATGTTAATAAAGAGGACGAGCGTTCATGTTCGAAATGAGAATTATGAAGAGAAGAGCTTTCGAAACGATCGCATTAATGTCCTAATAAAAACGGTTCTGTTTTATGGGCTGTCTGTGAATAACAACTGACCAAATTTATATTTTTAACAGATTATTTAACGTATATTTATAGTATTATATCATAATATCTGTTTTTTTGAAAAGTAACTTTTTAATCTTCTTTTAAATTTGTTGGTTTGTCTTATTTAAGTTTTCATTGAAAAGTTAAAAGGCTTTATGCTTAGTACACCAAAGTACTAGGAAGTATCAATTTAATTCCCTTAAATTTGTTATTTTTTGTCTTTTGAGAGGGGTGTCGAGGATTTAAATACTTTTTATAAGTATATGTATATTATTTGTAATAAAATTATGTTAGATTTATATATTAAATAGATATTCATAATATATATATATATATATATATATATATATATATATATATATTACAAGTGGTGAGGTTTATGGAAAAAATATAAGATACCTTTTTTGTAGAGCATTAAATTTCCTACAAAATTCTTCCAGAACATTTTTCTGTACAATTAATTAATATGAGGTATGAATAATGAGGATCTTCCTATTAAAATTAAGAGCTCATATTTGGTGAGAATTTTTTGAAGGTGTCTAAGCAACACATTTTTCCGTGTCACTTGTAAAAAAAAAATTATTGATTTTTTTGACCCACCCTAATAATATATATATATATTATTTATATGTGAATGATATACATTTTTTATATTTTAGTATTTTCTTTTTTTTTATCGTCTATATATTTTTAATTTATATTTTTAAAAATTTATATAATTCTACAGGGGATTACTTTACGATTTAATAATCGTGGAACACGGTTTATAAGCTTGAACGTATTATTACTAATAAACAGATAAAATGAATGGCCATCGTGGAAGTGAAATAAGCGAGGAAATACTAGACGCTGAATAATCACATTAATAATAATCACTGTGGTTAATGACGTAATATCTTGTCGTATTATTAACGGTGCTTCGGTTTATTAAGCGATAAGCGATAATGAGAACACCTAAATTACTTTGAGGAAAGAAAGGATTTGAATCTAAAGGAATTACTTTTACTTTGAAGATTGAGAAGTATCGCTGAACACTCGATATAAGAATTAAAAACTGCGAAGTACAATGGTTGAAACGCTTTGTTGAATATTTTTAAATTATTTTTATCTTTGATAAATAATAATAATTGTTAAAAGGTAATAGTATCAAAGGAAATTTATATTATTTTCTAATTTAAAGTAATGCACATATTTTCAATTAATATCTTTAAAAAATTTGCCGTTTATCGAGTATTAAATTATAATACTCTTTACATAAAAATAATGCTTCTTTTTGTTTAAATAATTTTTCAATCAGTATCAAAAAAGAAAAAATAATACATTTCACGGAGCAGTATGTCACTTTCAGGGGTTATATCTAGTTAAAATTTTCAAAAAAAAAAATCAATTTTTTGCATTTTCGGAATGTACATATATTTAAGTACATTCTCTGAAAATTTGAAGCCAATCTGATAAATATTTTCAGAGATATACCTGAATTTGTAAGGCCACGTCAGAGTGTTAGCTCCTTACGGTGAAGTTGAAGTTGTTAAAAAAGAATGTATCGGGCATGTTCAGAAGAAAATGGGTTCACGACTCCGCGAGCTAGTAAAACAAAATGCAGGAACAGTTGAAAAAGGCAGAAAAAAAATTCCAAAAAAAGTACTTTCAGGAAAAGGTAAACTCACGGCTAAGCTAATAGATAAGCTGACAGTCTACTATGGTTTGGCAATAAGGAGAAATTGTGAATCCGTGGATAATATGTATAATGCAATTTGGGAAACATATTATCACTATTGTTCGACTGATGAGAAGCCTCAACACGAAATGTGCCCAGGTGGAGAAGGCTCATGGTGTAGTTGGCAGCAAGCGCTAGCAACAGACACATTATCTTCTTACACCTATGATTATACAACTTTATCAGCTGATGTTGCTGAAGTTATATATCCAATTTATGAAGACCTTAGCAACGTAAAATTATTGGAAAGGTGTGTTGGTGGATTTACACAAAACAATAATGAGAGTTATAATCAGTTAATATGGAAAAAAACTCCAAAAATTGTTCCATGTGGCTCTAAAGTTGTTGAAATAGCGGCTTACATTGCAGCTGGAATGTTTAATGAAGGTACAAAATCATTATTGTACTTTATGAGTGCATTAGGACTTTCATTAATCACCGCAGCTCATGCTTATGTCGACAAAGAGGACGCAGAGCGTGTGATGATCTTCGATGTGAGAGCGCATAGGAGCACGCGAGAACGAAGAATGGCTCGACGACAACACCAGCTGGACTTATTAGAAGCTACCGATACTGCAGAAGGTCTGAATAGACCTCTGATCTGATCCTGATAATCCCTGGAATAGATGATACTATGTAAGTTAAAGAAAAAAATTTTTAACTATGTGTAAACTACTTCTGAAACTTTAAACGCGTTTTTCTCAAAACGGTGTTTTCAAAGTCGGTGATCTCGATTTCTCAGCAATGGCTCAACCGATCGATCTTAAATTTTTACACAATCTTCTTAGATATATTCCTCAGGTATTAAAATGAAGGATAAAAATTTTTTAAAATTATTACTATTTTTTTATCAATTTGGAGCGAAAATTTCAGTCAAAAACAAGACACTTTTTTCAAATAGACGCCATTTTGTCAAAAATCAAAATTTCTATTATTCCTGCGTT